AGAATCACCTGAGGAATTTCAAAACAACATGAGCCTGAGTCTCTCCTACATAGATTCAGAATTAACAGGTCTGGGGTGGGGCCCAGACATTAGTATTTTTCAAAAGCTCCCAGATGATTCTAACAAGTGGCCAGTGGTGAGATCTATTTACCTAGACTAACTCTTCATTTTTTAATAATTAAAACCCCAAACTGCCATTAGAATAGGACTTGGTGGTTTCCCTACATTATCTAATTTGGGAGTCCTCAAAACAACTCTGTAAAGTAGATACAGCAGATATTGTTATACCTGTTTAACAGATAAGAAAATTAGCTGACAGCAGATATGTTATACCTGTTTAACAGATAAGAAAATTAGCTGAGAGCTGCTTTCACGATACTAACTTAGGGCACAGCTAAATAACTGCTATTTCCCTGGTTGAGAACAGCGGAAAGTTGAGGTCTAAAGTTAATACAACATCCAGTGTTTTCCACTGTGAGTCTATAGGAAAAGCCTGAACTCATTTTAAAGGATAAATCACCAATGCCAATCTCTTAATTTTATATGTGAGGAAACTAGGCCCAGAGATTTGTCTCAAACCACAAATTTTAGCTGAAATGAGAACTCAGATCTCCACACTCCTAGTTCAGTATGTTTCCCACTAAGTTGCATTTCCCAAGCGTGATCCATCTTGTGGGATTCCACAAGATACTAACAGATGTTCCACTGAAAAAGGTTAGATATGCTAAGCCACATGTGGGTTAAAACAAATTCAATGGTGTCCTTGACCTCAGGACTTCTCGGCCTTCACTGGGCTCATGTGTCCTCCAAGTCTCTGAGAGCTTTATGTAATATATGGCATTTCCAGAACTTATTTGACTATGGAACCACTTTTTTTTAGTCAAGAATCTTGAAATAGTCCTATTCAAATAAGCAGACCTTGAGGACTGTAGGCTACTCTGCTTGAGGGGTTGGAAACAAGGTTATGCCCTCAGAATTAGGGCACCAACTATAATAACTAAAGGGAAAAGTATCATTAGCATCACGAAACATCTAAAACAGCTCAAGGCTGCAAAAGTATGGCCTCATCATTTTATTCCACGTTGTCCCTTAATAGACCGTGCCTCAGACCCATTCCCCCAATAGGAAGTCATTGTGATGTCCTTCTTGCTGGTTTGCTACTTTGTAATGAGCAAGTCCCTGTGTCAGGCACTAGGCAAAGCACTTACCCGGATAATCTTGTTTAATCTTTAAAACAATCCTATGAGGTAAGGACTCTTAGTATCCCTACTTTAAAGTTTAAAAATCTGAGACTTAAAAGAGGGTAAGTAGCATGTCCAAAGTCATACAGTAAGTAGTGGAACTAGGTTTTGAACCTGAAGCTGCCCAATGCCAGATTCAGTTATGTGATTATGACATGATGTTGTCACTATAAATGATCTTTTTTTTGTGTGTGTGGTACGCTGGCCTCTCCCGTTGCGGAGCACAGGCTCCGGACGCGCATGCTCAGCGGCCATGGCTCACGGGCCCAGCTGCTCCGCAGCATGTGGGATCTTCCCAGACTGGGTCACGAACCCGTGTCTCCTGCATCGGCAGGCGGACTCTCAACCAATGCACCACCAGGGAAGCCCTAAATGATCTTCTTTTGCATTTATCAGAGTGTATTCCATTTATCAGAGAGAGACAGAGACAGAGAGATAGAGACAGAGAGAGAGCTTTTTGAGAAATTTTTAAGGACTGTGAGGGCTAACAAGTCTGCAATGTGCAGCGCAGGCCAGCAGGCTGGAAATCCCAGCAGGAGTTAATGCTGTAGTCTTGAGTCTGAAGGCAATCTGGAGGCAGAATTCCTTCTGGGGACCTCAGTCCTTTCCCGTAAGGATTTCAACCGATTGGATGAGTCCCACCCACGTTATGGAGGACAATCTGCTTTACCCAAAGTCTACTGATTCAAATGTTATCACATCTACAAAATGCCTTCACAGCAACACCTAGACTCCGGTGTTAGACCAACAGCTGGGTACTGTAGCCTGGCCAAGTTAACACTTAAAATTAACCATCACACTATGTAATAAACAAACAAACAAAAAAACCATAGGTATCCTAGATTGCATAGTCCAATTTCCTTATTTTGCAAATGATAAAACAGATCAGAAAGGATAGGCACCCAGTGATACACATGCGTTCACAGGAGAACATGCACACCCACATTTGCAGAACTTTTCATAAGTTGCTCACTACCTTCTAATACAACTAAGTAGAAAAATTAAATCCCTCCAAAACACAATTTATTTTTATTTTGAAGACTTGATTAGAAAAATTCAGCAAACAGTCCATTTTATTACTTCTCTCCAGGCTAATGCTCCCACATGCTGGATGTGGGGACTACTTTCAGAGCAGATGGGGAGTCTGGAAACAGCTGACACTTTTCTCCCCAAAAGCGGACTTACTCTCAAGTTCATTCCTGTCCCTCCTACCCACCCCCTCAACCTCTCCAGTCTCACCTGTCACTTCTCAGGCTTCCTCCAACTTGATGCCTCCTTTTGCCTCTGGGCTTGCAAACAAGCTCTTCCGTCTGCGGCCCTCTTTCCTCAACCCCCTACCCCTCCACACACACACCCCTTTTGCCTGGTTAAAGCCCAGTCATGCTTAAGTCTCAGCTGAAATATCTTTTCCTCAGGTAATGCCCCTGGCCCTACCAGACCGGGTTAGATGTCCTTCCCATGCACCCCTCTGGCACACAGTACCAACCCCTGATATGTACTGTTTATTTATCTATATCCCCACTAATGGTATCCCCAGCATGGTATCCCCAGTGTTAGAGTGTATCACATAAAAGACATTCAATAAATATTTATTGGGGGAAGGAAGAAAAGGAGGAATGAAGGAAAAAGGAAGGAATTTCTGTAGGGCCTATCTTACACTGCATGACTGAGATCTGACTATTAGAAACAGTCTGTGATGAAATTTGCCCAGGGAACTGCAGGGGGTAGAGCAAATTTGGTCATTTCAGGTGCTAGGGAGTCTCTATCGAGTGACCTGGCATCCTGGGGTTTTGTTTTGCCGTCATTTGGACATTGATATCACCAGGGAGTTATTGGTGCAAAGTAACAAGAAGCTGAACCAGGGTGGTAGCAGCAGGGATGGAAAGGGACCCATAAAGGGATGTTTCATGGCTAATTTGGACTGCATTCGTTGGGATGTGAAGGAGAAGGGTGCAAGATCAGGAAGCTGGGAGAATCTGATTTCTGGTACAAGACAATATCATCAATTCCATACTGAACTGGAAGTATTAGGAAAGCATCTAAAAATACAGCTGAAAATATAAAACAAAGCCAAGAAGATCTATAGTCCTTCACAAATTTTTTATATCAATTACTGTTATCAAAGAAGTGTCAAAACTGGCCAGTAGGCAGAACCAGTATTGCCTATATGATGTGCTTTGAGGGTCATCAAAAAGACTCTTCTTCACGATCTATCATCATGTCAAGGTACCTGAAATGTAATTAAAATGGTACTTTTCGTATATCATCACATATAATTTGTATGCACATATTATATCTCTGGAAGGAAAGATAAGTCATGGTAACAGTGGTTACCTCTGGAAAAGGGGGATTAGGAGATTGGAGGTCAGAGGTGGGAGGGAAACCTATCTTTTACCATTTACACTTTTGTACCCACTGAAGCTTTTTATCATGTACATAGATCTTTCATGTAGAAAAGAAAATTTTTTATTTTATTTTTAAAAGTTGGAATTTATCAATGGGCTGTTGGTTAAATAAATTATAGTACATCCATTAAGTGGGATAATGTACAGTCATTAAAATGAAAAAAAGATAGCTTTGATCCAAAAGATGTACTGATCCAAAGATGTCCATGATGATTATTTAAGTAAAAAGCAAAATTTAGAGTGTAAACATTAAAAATCCACCCATTAGAAAAATATGTGTTTAAATACTTGTTAGCGTGTATATGCATAGGGAAAAGCTGTCAAAATACACCTGTTAGCATTGATTACCCTGGCAAGATGGAATTAGAAGAAACTTTCGCTTTCTAAGTTATATATTTTGACATTGCTTGAACTTTTTACAAGGACCATATTACCTTATAATCAGAAAAAAAGATAATTTAAAACATTTGTGACAACGCAAATAGCCCCAAAATGGAGGGAGGGTCATCATCTTCAGCAGCTGGGGCAACTTTTAAACCCTCTAGATGAAAACTAGGTACTCATGGGGAGTGTGTGCATTAAGTCAGGGAGAAGTGCTGTAATACAGCCTTGGCTCACAACAGTGCCTCAATAATGTTTAATAACTGAATTTATAATTAAACTCAATAAAGTTGGACTATAAAGTAAATACAACTTGTCTTTTTCCCAAGTGAATGAAAAATAGATACTTATCACCAGGAGCTTAAAAAATAGAGGGTCTGGGGCTGCCCTGGTGGCGCAGTGGTTGAGAGTCCGCCTGCCGATGCAGGGGGCGCGGGGTCGTGGCCCGGTCCGGGAAGATCCCACATGCCGCGGAGCGGCGGGGCCCGTGAGCCATGGCCGCTGGGCCTGCGCGTCCGGAGCCTGTGCTCCGCAACGGGAGAGGCCACAACAATGAGAGGCCCGCGTGCCGAAAAAAAAACAAAACAAAACAGAGGGTCTGACCTCAAGGCCATAGTCTAAGATAACATCACCTGTTTTCCCCTCTTCCCTGCTTTCCAACAATCTGATTCTTTTCTTTTTGTTTGCCCTGGTCATCTTCCCAGCCCTTTTTTAAAAACTGCCCATTAGAACCACAAGAGGGCAGCAGCCTCATGTACAAGAAAGGCTCTCAGGCATTGGTAATCATAAAAAGCAAAGGGAGGCGATGCCTTTATAAAAAGTGTTGTCAAAACTTTAGAGATTTCAGCATCTTGCTCTGAATAGGTGTGGGACCACATTTAATGTTCTGTTAGAAATTATAAACAATAAGTGGAAAAGAAATTCATGCTGGTGAGTGGAGCTAATGTATTTCCCTCTCTTCCAGAAACTGGCCAGAGAAATGAGATAGAAAAGAGAACAGTCTAGAACCTAAGACTTACTCCTAATGTAAAATCTTGCACCAGGATGGAAGGGGAATTCTACCACAATGCTACTACTGTCAATGGCACCCCAGTGAATCACCAGCCTTTGGAACGCCACAGGTTGTGGGAAGTCATCACCATCGCAGCTGTGACAGCTGTGGTGAGCCTGATCACCATCGGGGGCAACGTCTTAGTCATGATCTCTTTCAAAGTCAACAGCCAGCTGAAGACAGTTAATAACTATTACCTGCTCAGCTTAGCCTGTGCAGATCTCATCATTGGGATGTTCTCCATGAACCTCTACACTACCTACATCCTCATGGGACACTGGGCTCTCGGGAGTCTGGCTTGTGACCTTTGGCTTGCACTGGACTACGTGGCCAGCAATGCTTCTGTCATGAACCTTCTGGTGATCAGTTTTGACCGATACTTTTCTATCACAAGACCCCTGACTTATCGGGCCAAGCGTACCCCAAAGAGGGCTGGCATCATGATTGGCTTGGCCTGGCTGATCTCCTTCATCCTCTGGGCCCCAGCGATCCTCTGCTGGCAGTACTTTGTTGGGGAGCGGACGGTCCCACCAGATGAGTGCCAGATCCAGTTCCTCTCGGAGCCCACCATCACTTTTGGCACTGCCATCGCTGCATTCTACATCCCTGTTTCTGTGATGACAATCCTCTACTGCCGAATCTACCGGGAAACAGAGAAGCGAACCAAGGACCTGGCCGACCTCCAGGGCTCTGACTGCGTGGCTGAAACTGAGAAGAGAAAGCCAGCTCACGAGGCTCTGCTCACGTCCTGCTTTAGCTGCTGCCCCCAGCCCACACTGGCCCAGAGGGAAAGGAACCAAGCCTCCTGGCCATCCTCCTGCAGGAGCACCTCCGTCACTGGGAAGCCATCCCGAGCCACTGGCCCGAGCACTGAGTGGGGCAAAGCTGAGCAGCTAACCACCTGTAGCAGCTACCCCTCCTCAGAAGATGAAGACAAGCCCACCACTGACCCTGTCTTTCAAGTGGTCTACAAGAGTCAGGCCAAGGAAAGCCCAAGGGAAGAATTCAATGCCGAAGAGGCCAAGGAAACTTTTGTGAACGCTCAAACTGAAAAAAATGACTATGACACCCAAAAATACTTCCTGTCTCCAGCTGCTGCTCATCGACCCAAGAGTCAGAAGTGCATGGCTTATAAGTTCCAACTGGTGGTGAAAGCTGATGGGACCCAGGATACCAACAATGGCTGTCGCAAGGTGAAAATCATGCCCTGCTCCTTCCCGGTGTCCAAGGACCCTTCCACGAAAGGCCTTGATCCCAACCTCAGCCATCAGATGACCAAACGAAAGAGGATGGTCCTCGTCAAAGAGAGGAAAGCAGCCCAGACCCTGAGTGCAATTCTCCTGGCTTTCATCATCACGTGGACCCCTTACAACATCATGGTCCTGGTTTCCACCTTCTGCGACAAGTGTGTCCCAGTCACCCTGTGGCACTTGGGCTACTGGCTGTGTTACGTCAATAGCACTGTCAACCCCATTTGCTATGCCCTCTGCAACAGAACCTTCAGGAAGACCTTTAAGATGCTGCTTCTCTGCCGATGGAAAAAGAAAAAAGTGGAAGAGAAATTGTACTGGCAGGGGAACAGCAAGCTCCCCTGAAAATTAACGACTCCCCTCAAAAGAATGACCGTGGTCAAGGTCCTCTGAGGACGGGTGAGCTGATTCTGCTTTACTTTTCAAAAAGACCTTTTGAGTCCCTGAGGACATGGAAGGCCTCGAGGTCCGTCACCAAAAGGAAAGAGTCACAGCTGCCACAGTTACTGCCATATTGAATGAATCTTATCCATGACCAGGGTCGCCTGATGCTGCTGGAGTGTTTGCCACCAAAGTAAAGAGACAGACTCATGACCCTTCACAGGAGGAGGAGCAGTTGGTCACAGCGAACAGCAACTGAGGGAGCTCCTGTCCAACCTTCTGCGGGCAACAGCAGGACCGGTGGAAACCTGTCACAGAGTTTTGTGCAGTATGTATGTGTCTGTGAAGTTGTCTCATTTCAGTGAGAACGAGGAGAATGTAAGTCAGTGTCACCTGTTAACAAGAGTGATATTCAACTGGCTTCTAAGATTCTATTTCTTTATGAACTGATCAGTATTTATTATGCAGCTATTATGTGTTCTGTACTGTGGTATGTTTTCCTGTCCCTACATCTGAGCAAAGCTCTTGCTCTTCCTTTTCACAACTGATGCCAATTCCTGGTACCCACTGAGGCCAGGCTGGTCCCCACAGAACCACCCTTCCTCTCAGAGTCCTGGGTCTGAAAGGACACTGGAACCTGATCACACCCAGTCCTACAGAGAAGCCTCTATTCTGCTAATAAAGGTGATCAGGTCTCCACAGTCAGTTATTTTGTTTTTACCAGTGGGGATTTTTTTCCTTTTATGTAAACAAATATTATATATTGTAGTTTGTGCCCTTTGAACCCATTTATCTATGCTCTGTCCTTAGGAAGACTAATTGTATGACAGCTCTTCACTGGGTAAAGACCTTCTCCAGTCTGTTTAATCATGGTTCTCTTAAATTATTTTCAGAGGTCTTACTTTCTAATCTCTTCACAAGGAAAACCTGAGGCAAAATGTGCAAAACAAATTTGGTTTCACTCCATGCTTTTGGACTTCTTCCAGGCCCTCTTGCAGGCCCTCATCCAGACCCTCAATTCACACCCAGGCACAAGCAGGTCACTTTGCTGTCTCCAGCCAGAAATGCTATTTAGAGGGACAGCAGGGGAAAGGCTCTTTTAAAAAAAAATAGGTCCTCCAAATCATGGCTCAGAAATGACTTACTGGACTTCCCTGGTGGTGCAGTGGTTAAGAATCCGCCTACCAATGCAGGGGACACGGGTTCGAGTCCTGGTCTGGGAAGATCCCACATGCCGCGGAGCAACTAAGCCCGTGCGCCACAACTACTGAGCCTGTGCTCTAGAGTCCGCAAGCCACAACTACTGAGCCCACGCACCTAGAGCCCGTGCTCCGCAACAAGAGAAACCACCATAATGAGAAGCTCGCGCACCACAACGAAGAGTAGTACCAGCTCACCGCAACTAGAGAAAGCCCGCGCGCGCCAACGAATACCCAACCCAGCCATAAATAAATAAATAAATAAATAAATAAATAAATAAATAAATAAATAAATTTATTTTTTTAAAAAAACAAATGACTTACTTAGTCATTCCTCTCCAAATTCACAAAAATGAGAAGCCCAGAAAAATACAGTTGAGGTCCAGTAATACTGGCTATGGTCATTAAAAATGACCATGTTTTCTTTTAAAACAAAATGTAGGCCATAATAATGTATAAAAATAAGAGTTATCAACATACATTTAAATATCAGGATTATCCCAAAACCAAATTTTAACTGAAATCTCTGCGTATATAAACAGACCAAATCTAAGAGGTTTCTTTGATAATTCTGAAAATAAACCAATGTGCAAGAAATCAAAACAATACAATAATGCATAAAATTAATGAACAGTCCACAAAGAAAGCAGCAGTATAGCATACAACAAGGATTTTAAAGATGAAACACTCCTGTCAGACAGAAACTCATTATTTAACCTGTTAATTACACCTGCAGTTGTATATAAAAATCTCTGGACTTCCTTTCACCTAATGTGGGCCAGTTCTTTTTCAGCCTCGTTTGCTAAAGAGATGTAAAAATAGCTGGTTTAGTTGTCCTGGGAATTTGGTATGTACTTGAGTATGGGAGAGTATCAAGCTTTCCACTGAAGAGTGAATTTGCCTCTTTACAGAGTACCAAGGACGCTTCAGGGAAGTGGAAACCCAGGCCTCTCCAGCCCTGTAGGGACTTGATATTGAGATGGAACATCTTTGAAGCAATGTAGCTGCTGAGGCTTTATGAGGCGCAGGTTGACACCCACCAAGAATTTGGTAGAGAATATTAACTGGCTCAATTCTCCAAGACAGAGACTCCCAGGGCTACAAGATGCCAACAGGATGTGGCTTCATAAGCTCTGGATAAACAGTTGATTCTTTGAGTTTAAGGCTTTGACAAAAGTGAAAATCCCTCCAAGAGAATAGCACTTTGAGCTCACTCACTGTTCAAGTAGACAGAGATACAACCTAATTCAAACAAAAGAACACAGAACTGAGGGGGTGGGCTGGTTGGAGGCACACTTTTCTCACTCCACAACTGCCTAGAACTAAGCCTTTTTTGTCTTTTGTGAAATTCATTGAGAGGCCTATGCCTCCTACATCACGGGCTTTGGGAGGCAACCAGTTATGAAGACTACCTATGCCCCTTGACAAAAAGAATGCCCCAAAATACTAGGGGAAAGTAGACTTCTTTAGAATAGGGCCTCTGGTGGGGTCCTCAGAATGAACAGATCCAACTGTAAACTACAGGGACCTGATGGGTGGATGGGTAGGGTGTGGACTGACTTTGGATCTTCGGCCTTCTTATGCCCCATCTCCAAAGCTCTGTTTGTGGTACACTATGTGCAGCTTTGATTAGTTGCCTGTTGGAAACTGCTATGTTGCTAATATTGTGGTTTGTTTCTCCTTGCTGTGAATTTGATGGCTTGTCGAGGAATCTGTTTTCAGTACAATATTTGGTTAAAGCATTTTGTCAGTATTCCTGGTCTCTGCTTTGCTCCTTTGGTGAATGTCTTTTGAGGGTGATGCTGATGTTTGGCTCTATGTCATTGTGAAATCTGCACCTAATCTCTGGAGAGAAAAATCCCATTGTCTACTGTAAATACTGGAATCCCAGCAAAGGATGTGGGGAGTGGACTGCTTTTCTGTATCATACTAGCATTGTTCTATATATTAAAGAAATTTAACCACACAGTAGTCCAACGCAAAGTGTTTAAATAAGAAAATGGTCTCGGGCTTCCCTGGTGGCACAGTGGTTACAATGCAGGGGACACGGGTTTGAGCCCTGGTCCAGGAAGATCCCACATGCCATGGAGCAACAAAGCCCGTGTGCCACAACTACTGAGCCTGTGCTCTAGAGCCTGCAAGCCACAACTACTGAGCCCATGTGCCACAACTACTGAAGCCTGCGCACCTAGAGCCCGTGCTCTTGCTACAAGAGAAGCCACCTCAATGAGAAGCCCGCGCATCGCAACCAAGAGTAGCCCCTGCTCACCGCAACTAGAGAAAGGCTCCATGAGGCAATGAGGACCCAATGCAGCCAAAAATGAATAAATTAAATAAATAAATTTGAAAAAAAATGAAAGAAAATGGTCTCAGTGAGCTTGACAGATCCATCTATGTTAGAGATTCCACACACATTCGCATTGCCTGGCCTTTTAAGGGGGTAGGGGTTGATATACAATGTAGATACATGTCCCTCTTGACACCTTTGTGATTTTCCCCTTTCCTCTCAGTTACCAAATGACCAAATTAAGATGAAATAATGATGACAAGATTCCAGTAACTAAAATGATCCCATCACCCTCCAGGACGAGGGAGGTGAGGCAGACCTCAAACCAGGGCACGTTAGCCAATACAGACCCTGCAACAAAACAGAACAGCAGCATTTCTTCTCCAATTGCTCTAAGAGCTGGTGCCCCAGTCATTTCATTCCCATTGTAAGGGATACTAATTCCCATCTCCCCCCACTCATATCACTAGTAAAGTTTGAGATTATATAATTCTTTCCAATAAGAGCCCCAGATTGAGAGTGTGAAGAGTAAGGGAAATATGTTTTTTAAGCATCCAGAAAGGAACCAGAAGAAAAATTATTTAAAACATACAACTTTTTTTGGGGGGGGAGGATAATTTTAAACTTAGAAAATAAGCTGCAATAATAGTACAGAGAACTCTGATATCCTGCTCCCACATTCCCCAGTTGTTAACATTTTGCCACATTTGTACTGTGTGTGTGTACACATTTTTTTTCTCAACCATTTGGAGTAAGTTGCAGACATCACATCCACTGACCTCTAAATACTCCAGTGGGTATTTCTTAAGAACAAGGAAATTATCTTACATTACCACAATACAAATACAAAATCAGAAAATTCAACATTGCAGTAATATTATTATGTGAAACATAATTATGTAATACAGTCCATACTCAACTTTTACCAGTTGTTCAAACAATGTTCATTATAAGAATTTCTTTTCCAGTTAGGATCTAATCCAGGACCACACACTGCATTCAGTTGTCATGTCTCTTGGACTCTTAATTTGGTAGAGGTCTTCAGCTTTCTTTCGTCTTTTATGATATGGTCATTTCTTTGGCGTACATTAAATCCAGTTTTTAAAAAAGAATTTCCAGGGACTTCCCTGGTGGTCCAGTGGTAAAGAATCTGCCTTCCAATGCAGGGGATGCAGGTTCGATCCCTGGTCAGGGAGCTAGGTTCCCACATGCCACAGGGCAGCTAAGCCCTCGCACCACAACTACTGAGCTCCCGTGCTGCCAACTATAGGGCCCACACACTCTGGAGCCCACACGCCACAACTACAGAGCTCAAGCGCCCTTAAGCATGCACGCCACAACTAAAGAAGAGAAAAAAACCCACATGCCACAACTAGAGAGAAGCCCGTGCACCACAACAAAGATCCTGCATGCCACAACTAAGACCCGACACAGCCCAAAAAAATAAATTAATTAATTAAATAAAGGGTTAGTTTAAAAAAAAAAAATTTCCATCAGTTTGCGGTTGTCTGATGTTTCACATCAGATTCAGTTTGTTTGTTTTGATTTGGGCAGGAATGTCACAAATGTGATATTGTGTCCTCAGTGCCTCACATTAACAAGACATGATGCTTTATCCCAGTAGTGGTGACGCTAACATGGATCGCTTGGTTAAAGTGTACCTTCCATCCACCCCTCCATGTTTCTCCACTATAAATTTACTATTTTTCCCTCTGCAACTAATAATTTTGAAAAAGAGATTTTAAGCCTCTATAAACGTCCTATGGGTCATCAGGTTTTCACTCAATAATTGTAGCATGTCTTTATTATTCTCATCAAGTTATTCCTATGATGATTGCCAAGTGGTTGGCATTCCACTGTAAGGAAGACTTGTTCCCTCTTTATTATCTATTTATTTACTTATTTATTACTATTATAGACTAACAAACTCATAATAATTGGTTAAAACCCATTACTGTCATTATTTCAATGTTAAAATTGTCACAAATTTAGGCAGTAAGAGCCCCTTCAAGATGATTCCTGTGACCCTTTGACATAGTTCAAACATTTGTTGAGCACTCCCTCACTTTCTGGTACAAGAAGATATTCCAGGCTCATCTTCACTCTCCCCACCCCAACCCAAGAATCAGCCATTTCTTCAAGGAGCCCTGGTTTCATTAAGTAGAGAATGGTACCTGACTCAGTTCTAGAATCAGGATGTATTCATTGCTAT